TGACTGAAGAGTCACAACAAGTGAGGAATGTTTGCTGTTTGCAGCCTTTACGGCAGAATTTCAGATGCCCCAAAGCTCTGTTGGGACTCTGGTTGTAAAAGCGAAGAAACTGGCCCCAAAGTCACATGGACAGAGACCACAGTCCTGTGAAGGAACAAAGCACAGTCATAAAAAGGAAGGCAAGTTGGCCTGCACTGACGTGGAAAGATCCACAGCGTGTTTTTGGTGAGAAAACTGCCAAGAGACGAGTTTGTGGGCCGAACGGGTGTCTCGTTTCATCAGTAAAATGCCGGCACCAAAGAATTTGGAAAGAAATGTCAAGAGCAACCCTGTTTAGGAGGAGAGCTATGGGAGAAAAGGCCTCCGTGTGCATTTACAATCTTTTGGAACTGTTTGAAATTCCTTAATATGTACATCCATTAGCTTCATATTAATCACAATAATCACTGGGATCAATGTGTGGCTGGCACTACAGGCCACTTACAGTTTCTTTATGCTTTTCTGTAGTGAAAAAGAAAACCTTTCAAAATCTCCTGCTCTCCAGAAAAATGTGTGATGGGTGTGTGTGTGTGTGTGTGTGTGTGTGTGTGTGATGTTCCCTAGAGGGAGCCTGGAGCCCATGCGCTCTCTCTCTCTCTACCTCAGTTTCCCATGTGCAGGGTCAGGGTGGGCTTTGTGGCAGTGCTGGGGGTGCTGCTGGCTCCAGTAGCCAGAAGCTGGGCCTTCCCAGGGTGCTGGCCAACCCTGTCTCCACAGCCAGCTCCCACCCTCCCACTGCCGACCTGGGGTGAAGTTAGCTCATGCTGGCTGGGTGGGGCTGAGGGCGAGGAGGCAGGAGCAGATTCTGCTCCTCAGGAACAGCAAAGGGCGTGGATGGGAGAAGACCGTGTGAAGCAGCCGGTATGGAAGTGGCACCAAATTCTCAGTGAGGGCTGCAGGGCCTCAGAAGACATTCGCCTGGACAGGCCCAGATCCTGACAGCAGCTGAGGCCTGGAGGGGCCCGTGCTTGCCCGGAAGTGGGGTGCTGTGGCTGTGCTCCCGTAGTCTGTGGACTTACCTGTCTGCAGGCCACGCACGAAAGCAGCAGCTTATTGCTAAGCTCCAGGGCCTCTTCCAGGGCTCCATCTCTAACTTGTAATCATAGTTGTTCTGAAAAACAGCCCCCTGCCCCCGTTTCAGCAAAACCTGAATCTGCCCGACACACCGGTGTCCTCACTTGCTACCATGTGTGTCTGTCTCTGCCCCCCGCCCCCCTTCCCTGACTTCTTTTCTTTCTTCCTTCAGTATTTGCATCTCAGAAACTCCCCTCCTGGGCAGAGGCCCAGCCGCTGAAGGTCCTGGTCCAGCATGGTCCAGGGACCCACAGGGGCGTGCTGTGGGCACCCACCTTCCTCCGGGGACAACCAGCCGAGACTGGGGGCTTGGCAGGGGTGGCAGACGTGACCGGGATGCAGCGGGCCACGCGCGGCCGTCTGTCCCTGCCTGCGCATCCTCGTGCCTGGGTGCGAGGGTTCATGCGCTGCAGCCGCGGCTGCTGGTGTCTCCCCCCCCTCCCTCCCCACGGCGCTCTCCTGCTGTGTTTCTTGCTGGCCTTGTGCCTCTGAGTGACAGGGCCAGCAGCGCTGTGGCCGGTGAGTTCCCACGGCCATGGAATTCCCTCAGGGCCAGTCGTCCTGACGCAGAAGCCGCAGCTACTGCTGCCGGAGCAGAGACAGGCGCGGTGGCTTCATCCCAGCCGGGCACACAGACCTTCCGCTGCTTCAGTTTCTCAAGGCTCCTGATGTACTTGCCTGGTGGAGGCCGAGGCCGGGGGTTCTGAAACCTGTTCCTGTCCTAACCGATGGCATGATTTCTGTCCTTTGGTCCCAGGGTGGCCCAGCACTTTGATGTGGGGGGTGGAAGGGAGGTGGAGGCGGCCTCAGCTAAGTATCAGGTTTCCAAGATGACAGGTCCTGTGCTTGCAGGACATTCGCAGGAAGTACTGGGGTTCAAGCCCACTCCTACTGCAGATACCTCTAAGACAGTTGGAGAAAATGGGTCACGTAGGACACCGGTGGTTATTCTCTGCTGACTCCTGCCCCCCCCCCAAATTCTCCCACCACAGTTTCCACCCTCCCCCGCAAGGGAGGATGTTGTCACCTGTGGATATAGCCACCTGGGCTTCCCTGGTCTTGGGTTCACAGTTGGATTCAGCCCCTGGGAGGCCCCAGTGGGCACGGAGGGCTTTCCTGGCCCTCAAGTGCCTGGCTTTAACAGTGTAGTAGGATGTGTCCATTCAACTACCACGTGCTCATCTTGAAAGGCTAGGTGCGCGTCAACTACTGTTCACGTTAGCTGGGCTCCTGCAGCTAATATTGCCCTGTGTCTGTACTTTTCCACCGAAGTATGATGTCATGGGATGGGGAGGTTCTTATTCACTTGAAGTTGAGAAATATATTCCAAGATTGCATGAAAGGGAAAAACAGAAAGTCCATGATGCCCGGCAAGCCAGCATTTGGTCTGCTCACAGACACCTCTTCCAGGGCCTTCCTGTGCAGGCCCAAGCCAGGCACATCAATCTCTCCCACCACCTCAGCCTGCCTTTTGCATTTGCCACATTCTGTCCTTATAACTGTTTCCTAGTTTGAGGTATAGTTTTCCCACTAAACTGTGAGATAAACAAAGACTTCCAGGTCCCGCCTGCTGCCTTCACTGGGGGCCCCTGTGGACAGCCTGAGTGTGCAGGCCAGGATGCTGTAAAAGAGCTCTCCCCACTCACACCCTCAGTATGAAGAACATTCTCCTACGGGTGAGGGTGTGGGTAGGGGGCCCAGGTTGGTGTGGTCTGAAGGTGTTCCCAAGCCCCCGGGGCTCCTCAGGCCAACTCCCTCCTGAGTCACGCAGGATACAACTGAACGAACCCTCTCAGCCCACTCTTCGGCTTAGCTCCCTGGTCCTGTCTCCGCTAGACCCTTGTTCTCCCAATAAAAGGTGCATTAGTGTGGCTTCCTGAGACACCGAGCGGGTTCCCTGAGAGGAAGTGAGTCCTCACACTGACACAGGGCCACTACACGCACTTTCTTGGTTGTTAAATGTGACTTTCTCAGGTGTTGTTAAATATGGCTTTTTGTCTGTGGGGTTCTAGTTTCAGCCGCCCACATCCCTGCTCTTTAGGACACATCACTTCATCATTGTGTGCCTCAGTCTCTTCATCTGTAAAATGAGGCTAACTTTAGCACACCTCTGAAGGTTGCTCTGAGGATTAAATGCACTGCGACTAATAACTAGCTTTGCAATCTCTTTTGATCCGCTCAGCTTCCCCATGAGGGGGGTGGACAAGCATCACCTCATTTTCAGCTGCAGATCTGAAGGGCCAGAGACTGGGAGCACCTTGTCCAGGCCACTGTGTTGGCTGATACTAAGTGTAATCCAGACTTGACCCTCAGTTATCTCATAAAATTGGGGTGATGATGGCACCCCCACCAAGATTGCATTGTGAGAAGTCAGTGCCACCATTCAGTAAGGTGACAGGCACTTGGAGGGCTGTGCTCAAGGGTGTGCTCATCCCCTTCATAGCACCCTACCCTGTCACACCCTTGCCCGCCCTCCAGGAGCTGCAGAGATGCCAGCTTCCCTGCTCCCGGCTACCCTGCAGTCAGCTGCTTCGGTTTGGTGGGGACAGCTGTGCGGACAGAGAGGCCATTGTCTGGCCTCC